GATCTTTCGACCATCGCGATCTAGAATGTGTAAACACAACCGCACTAACTGCACTCAATCAAAAACTTGATTATTTTGATATGCACTTTGCTTAAGGCCTTGCAGCCTCCCCCATTAATAATTTCCGTCAACGCGGTCGGGGAAAACACCAACGGCATTAAAAACACATGCACTGCTCTCTGTACCACGGGCCTACAATAACAAACGGCTCTAGAACCGAAGAACGCAGTCTCGAGCAAGATTGCAGCTGCCTCGGAATCAACTTCTACCTGAACTCCAACTCCAACTCCGGCATCGACATCTGCATCTCAATCTGCATGTCAGCGTATCCATGATATTCGTGGAAGCCGCACTTGAGAGCATCAAGTGAAATGAAATACTCTTTTCATTGCAAAAACTATCAAAAGGCAAAGATCGGTGGGACGCAAATGCAAGCTATAGATAGTTTTACCTAAAAACCTAGAGCCATCGATACTTTTGTCTTACTTTGTAAAAACATTCTGCAGAATTACCACTTTAAGTGAAAAAATAAACATTAAAGGCAGCTAGCTTTGGCGAGTCCTTACAATAATTATATAGTTAAAAACAAAGGCAATGCCGTTTTCAATTTCTGCTATCGAATAGCAGATACCCATTTCTCGACTAGCGGAAGTGCTAGGTAGATATTTTAACAGTTAGCGATGGAAATCGGGAGGAGCAAAAATTAAAAATATGTGAGCGTGACAGTTTTGCGCGGCGTGTGGGCGTTGAAAAAGGCGGGGCAACGCTTGTAGGCAAATGTGCGCATCGTAAACGTCACTTGCCTAAATTCAACTTTCTAGCTTGAATAGTTCCCAAAATTATAGCTTTCATGAGGACAGACACAAACACAAAATCGAATGGCAACGTACTTATTACTATTTTTTAAAACAGAAAGAGTAAAATTTGCAAGGGAGAAACTTCAAATTTAGTTTGGCATATCGATAGAAACTGGCAAGAGAAATAAAATCGAAAAAAGAATAAATTATGATACGGACATAACTGCGTTCTTGTGAAAAGTAATGAGGTAATCGGTTTAATTTGTTTTTATACCCATTACTAGTAGATTGAAAGAGGGTACTTGATTGGCTGAAAAGTACATAATAGGTAGAAGCACTTCCGACTATATAAGGTATATTCGTATATTCTTAAACAGGATCACTAGCCATGTCCCGAACAAGCATATGCATATATACTTATTAAGTATGAAAACTTATGAAAACGCCTCTTCTTCCTCTTCTGGATGATCTGTCAAATATGCGCACCAATGCGTGTTGGACACTTAAGAGTCGATTAAATCAGGTGATTGATTGATTACTTGAAGTAATGATTGTCAAGTTTGCGCAGACCGCGAGACCACGCATTCTCCTTTTGATTGGTTCCCACAAATAATGACATGGCGACTTTAACAGATCGAACAAGATTCAACTCTGATTGACAACTTTACAGAACTGGCAGCGGGAAAAGATATTACTGTAAAAACAGAGTGATTTCTCTACCGATTAGGTAATAGTAGGTTTCGAATTTCCTATATTTTAAAGTTTAAAGCACCCGAAAGAAATTTTTGCTCAAACCTGTCATTCAACCTATGTTGATCATTCGATCGATGTTGCTCATTTCCCCCAAAGGGAAATTTGTAAGGAGCGTAGCTTTTATTAGCTGACTTTAAATTATATTTTTGCAACGAGTATTAAATCATTATCTTCGACGTCAAATAGTTCAAGTCAGCCTGATATAAAGTATATTTGGATCGTGTTATTCTGATAGCTAGATTTTTCATCTTTTCGCGCTTGTTTCCATTTAAGTCACTTGCTTATTTAGTCGTTATATAATATAATCTAAAAACCTTTTACAATAAAGTAATTAGGGTGTCCCGCCTTTGATGTCTAACTATGTCTCCCCAAATAGGTGCGATATAATTACTGCATTTAATACTGCACTTATACCCTATACTCGTACCGCACTCTCTAAGTCAATTGTGAGCGGTTTGTAGACGTTGGAATGGGCGTGGCAAAGTTTTGAAACAAGGAAGGGTCCTGATCCCGAGGATCTTGTGGATTCCGAGACCTTGTCGCTCCTACGGACAGCCTATTGGGTCGGAACCGCTTCCTTTTACCTGTTATGTGCAATAATGTATATGTATGTTTAATGTAATATATATGTAAAATAAATAGCCAATTAATGAAAATACTGTCCTAGCTTTTTTATTCGCTCATGGAGCGGTCACATAAATAGAGTTCATTAAAATGGCCGTTCTTATAACCTGCGAGCTTAAGATAGAAAATCCTATGTCGTACACTTTTAATGGACAAAATTTGCTGCTTTATGATATAATCCATTCACTGTGTAATCATTCGGAAGTGTCTCCCTCATAGCATTCCAAACTTAAAAATTATAATAAATGAAAAAAAAAACACATCTTAACGAGGCTAAGTGACGAAACAATTACATTCGACTAAATAATTAAACTACCAACCATTTTCTTATTCATTATAATCTTATGGTCTTTTTATAAGTATCCTTATTCTTATTCCCACGTATTGTTATTATTCACCGTTTATTTGAATGCTGTATCAATGCTTATACTGGCGTCCACATGGAAATTTACTGAAAATATCTATGTACAACAAATTCTTCTTGTGGAAAAACATAGTGACGAAGTTCCTAGCCTGACCTTATTGAATGTGACGCTTTTGTTTCTTATTAACATTGCAATGTTTACTTTAGTTTTTCACAGGAATTAGAGTATTTATCTCACTGGTTATTAGTTCTCTGGTTACTTACTGGTTTCTTTTTCTGTCAAAAGCGCTTACCGACATCTGATTTAAAACAATTCACGCAAAGTTTCTTCATTAATTCCCATCTCGCCTTGCTTTTCGTCTATCTTTAGCATCTAGGGCCATAAATTAGCCGGCCATGTAAGAGTATAATGTATTCATACAAAACACTTGCCTCGGATCCTTTTTGCCATCTTGACAAAAGAGTACGTGAAGCTCGAAACGCAAGTAAAGCACAAAGTATCTCTTATAATACCCGTTAGTCGTACAGTAAACGTTGAAAAGTATGTAACAGGCAGAAGGAAAGGTTTCCGACCATATAAAGTATATATATTCTTGATCAGGATCATTGGCCATGTCCGTCTGACGGTCAGTCCGTCAGTCCGTCCGTCCATCCGTCAGGAACTACAAATACTTTATACGGTCGGAAACGCTTCGGGTATAGGGACTAATGCAAATAAGTAAGCAATAACAAGGCGTTCTGAGTGAATCAAGATATAGATTCGGTATTGGAGCTCTACCGAATCTCAAATTCGTTACCTGTCAACCTCAGGATTCAAAAAGTCAGTAAAAATATAAAGGACGTCCGAAGGAAATAGTCTTGCGTGTAAGTCGCACTGTCCTATCAGTCAAGAGAAATCTTTCTGTGGCAACGCGAACAAGCTGCACTAAATGCCGTCCAAAATTGAGAAGCGAAAGATTTTAATTACATCTACAATACCACACCAAAGGACCATTCGACTGGGGAACTGTCTGGCAATTATTTACATTAGCACGATCACAGCTCAGAGGCACTGCACATGCATCATCGTGTTGCGAAGTCGATCGAGATCTCCAGACACCAGATACCAGATACCAGATCCCAGATCCCGCACTCCATAGTCCATACATCGGCCTACAGTCGCTGTCTGTGTGCCTGCCATGTATGCATATTAATTTATTGGAATCATGTTAGTGAGTCGATATTGATATAAATCCATTTTCGATTGCCTCGGTGGCTCGGTGCCTCGGTGCCTCGGTACCTCGGTACCTCGATATCCAGAGGCCGAGCAAAGGGATCGGGATAAGCAGACCCATGCTGGGACTCTAAACTAGGCAGCAGACATTACAAAACTACTAAAATTCCCCCGGTCCCATGTCAGTGGGCAGAGCAGGCGATCTGGTCGCCTCAGCCCAGCTTCTGTCCTTCCCAGTTGTTCCCAGTCCGGTCTTCCCAGTCCGGTTCTCCCTGCCCCTTATATCGCATGCCCAGCGACCGTATTGAGCTCTAATCGTTCGACTATCATGCGATAATGGAGTCGAAGGATTTTTCTAAATGGAACAATCTGGGCCATGACAGCTTTGATGTTCGGGTGCTTTTTCTTTAATTACGTTTAACTAATTAACCAGATGACGTACGACAAAGCGTCTCTGACGGACCCAGAAGACCTCAGCCCGCAAAGGCGTCCCTAGTATATGATGACATTGCATAAATCGAAGTAGAGTTTAATTTAATTTTGAAGTTTTTCAGCCATAAAGCTCATATTTGTTGTCAACAGCAACAGCAAGGAACGTCTGTTCCAATGCAACTTCTGTTCACAGACACGAATAAGATTTCAGAAGAAATAGACTTTTCAACTTCGGCTAAAGAGTTAGCAGGAGAGAGTTGTTCCCCGACTATCAGATTCCCCTTACTGAGCTAGTGTGAGTACGAACGAGAAATTTTCACATTTTCCGGCATATCGCTAGAAACTGGGGAAAAAAACATAAAATGAAAAAAATTAAAATTGTTTCCGCTCAATTTAAGACTAACCACAAAATGAAAAAATATGAAAACATTTTTCAAAAGTGCAGCCCGGCAGATTTGGGCGGGTTTGTGGGCGTTACAAAGCGCAATTTATTTATCTATCGTTTGTATCACTTTGTCAATTTGTATCACCTTACCAAAAATATTTTGTCAACACTCCCCACTCACTTTCAATACGTGAGGAGCCCGATTTAATCGATTTAAACAACTAAGTAAAATGTATTTTTCTACATCACATTTATGTTAAGTTGAATAAATATGTTTATAATAGTTATAATAGTTTATAATTATAATATAAAAAATTGAATTATTTATTAACGATTATTTTAGAATGAAACAAGTTTTTTATTCATATCATTAATCATTCATAGATTAATACAATCGACATTGAGTGTCTTTTTAAAAAACATAATGTCATTTTAGCTGGCTTTCCAGTAACCTTAGTAATAGTGGATTAAGGGGATAGTCCGAGCAGCTTCCTGAAGAGCAGCAAAAAATTTAAAGGATCGTCATCGGCTGCCAGGATTAATGTCGATGGGTACTCCTGATTTGCATTCAGAAGAATATGAGCATTGTGAAGAGGGGAGAATTTAATGAGATTTGCTCATCGGGATTGCCATAATCGGAACTCCAGGCATGTCCGATAGTAAACTTATGAAACCGCAACATATCCATTACTCCAACTTGGGCAACTGCTGCTCCGAAAAGTTCTGGACGCACCAAATGTCCACCATTCGAGGCGCCCTTTTTGGCACATGGTATAGTTATTTTGATCAAAAACTCAGCGGCGGCTTGAAATCATTAAAAACATTGTGTTTGTTTAACATTCTGCCACCATCGTGCCAATCTATGCCACAAAAGCCAAAACTACAGCAAATGTATCCATAAAAATCAGACCTATTTTGCCGAAGGATGGCATCAGACTGTAGTTAAAACCATATGCAAACTTCATCCGCAATATTCATCTTTCTCTCTATGATAAACATAAGTAGGTGTCATCTGTGCTTTTATAAAACACCTGCTCAATTGTAGCAACCTCGGCTATCACTTCTTGTGATATAAAATAAGAACGATAAGAACCAAGAGAAACAGTAAAAGATTTCCTGACTACTTTTCTTTCCTGAAAATCCATTTTTGAGCCTATATCCAGGCCAAATTGTCGAATGAGCATTCCTGTTTAAGACCGCGAGCTTCAAGAACATCACAAATGTAGCAAACGACTAATTTATTTCCATCGACGCACTTGGACCTCTCCAAAATATATTTCTCATGCTTGGGTATTATCACAATCACCCGGTAATCAGATGCATTCTGTTTGTGTGGACGTACAAATCCGATCCCTCGTTGATTATGTAATCGGAGTTGGCATCGAATTTATCTACAACGGGCTTAAGTTTAAGTCGGAAAACTGTTTTCTCTTCCGATCCTGATTCAGCATAGTACAGCATATTGTTCCGAACGGTTGGACTTATGGATAAGATCAGATATTTTCCGCAGTCTGAAACATCGGTTTTTGATTTTCAGCCACCGCCTTGATCAGAATATCGACCAAGAATTCTTTGCTGTTCATGAGACATTAGAGAACCTAATATTTTCCAGAGTTTCGTGTAAATAGATACACTCCTGGTATTTCGTATTTAAATTTTATTCCAATCGGAACCACTTATGGTCAGAGCTTTCCAGAGCATTGTCAGCTTGGAACTAATAGTTTCCCATTCCGCACTTCTTTCAAGGAACGATTGGCTATTGCTAATATAACGAGTATCATCCTTCGGATCTCCCATCTTTTAGTGCTTCTGGATACTTAATCCTAACACTTGCTTCCTCGACTGAGCGACTCACGTCTATTGGACCACAAGCCGTCGATCGAGACATATGTAGATATGTGATTAAAAATAAGAGGATATTTTCAATGACTCGACGACGCCCATTACTAGTCGGAAAATTAGTTTTGGAATCTGTTTTCCTTAAATAAATGCACCATCAAATGAATTCAAATGCTCAAACAATAGTGACATATTTTAGAAGACAACTTCTCACAGTGGCAATTTTGCCGAATGCAAACAGATAGGATACTGGCTGGGTTTATCCATTAGACGAGAGGCCTGCATTAAATTATTTAAATTCGTATGCAATGTGTCGTGATATTGTCTATTCCGCCATAAGGCCCCGTCCACGACACATTGACATCTCTGGGGCGCCTCTCTGATTGGTGCATTTGGTCTTATTGGTGCAATTTTTGTAAGCCTAAGCATGCTGAGCATGTCAACAAGGGGCGATACACAGGCCGAGACTAAGAAAGACAGAAGGGCAGCGGAGGCCAGAAAGGCAACAAGTCAAGAGCGCTGACAGCCAACATGAGCGCACCAGCAGCCGAGATCAGTGGTCACAAGAGCTGCACTGCAAGAATCTGTGCTCAACTACAGGCAAGTTTACCTTTTATAACGAAAATAAGTTTACTTCTAGTTTTATTAGACGGCCTTATTACAGTCTCCCCCGGTTGATCACATGGTTAAGTTATGCCCTTAAATACTTTGAAATTGGCTAATATAAACATATTTTATTCGACAGAGGGCACATGCCTGATGTATATGCTAAAGAGTTTAATGGGACCTCGGGTGAAGTCGCTACAATGGACTACATGTACTCCATTTTGGACTGGATTGGACCCTATTTTATAAAACAGTGTAGCTCTTCCATACTTACTTCTTTATGCTGGTAGCCAGCGATCATACCACGTTGTTGCATCGATTGGAAGCTGGGCTTTGTGATCGTCATTGCAGATTTGTGGCTTGATCAAGATCGAGAATTTCAACATTGGCTCGTCTCATCTTTGAAGTTATCAGACACACGCAAAGCACACACACTACACCACAGCAGACCTGAATTGGTTCTGTATCTGGCAATGGAACCGAGGGTACGGAGATGAAACCGCGTGTGTTTTTGTCGCAAATCGCCGAGATTGCGATCTCATTAAAGCGAATTTTATGTGTTGCTGACCCGTTCTGGCGCGCTGCTACTTGACTGCCTTCTCCGATTCCCTAAAGAATTAAGATCGACGGTCCTGCGGTCCTGCACTCACGAAATTTATTGGTGGCATAAGTTTGTATCTGTTTGTTTTGTGGCTCTGAAGTGGTGGTTACTTTTGTCTGCCGTTTGCCAAGCGCTTAAGCTGGCCTGTAAGTGAAATGTTCGATAAATTATGCTCTAGCTAAATAAATGTGCCTTTATTTTAATCACTGTGGACGTCACAATCTGCTGTGATTGTACGATCTTAACAAGAAATTCACCAATCGAAAGGTAGCGCCCAACTAAGGCGGCGAAAGAGTTCGAGTTAAAACTTGAAAAAAGTTGGCGCTGATGGCTGTTATCTTTCGAAATATCTTCACTCACAACTTTTTTTTTATTCTTGCTAAAAATTTGCATTCTAGGATCCGAGGCTCCGTTCAAAAAATATTAAAAAAATTTGTTTCCCTAAAAATACGGAACTTTAAAATGGTAATAAAAATAACTGTGTTTAGTTTATCCACATTGAGAAAAAGAACGGGGAAAACAGCCAAGTGTAAAGCGTGGCGAAAAAATGTGTTTTTGAGTCTATTTCATCACAAATGTTGATATTATAATTATTTGATTTTCCAATTTACACAAATTAAAAGGCAATACTAACATGTAATTCCAGTTTATATGCTTATTAATCGAACCCTAAATAGTTAAATAAAATCGTATATAAATATTCTACTTGTTAAAATTGTATTATTTACTTGTCAACACTTTAGTCGAATTGCCGAAATAATTTTGCAATGCCCGCGCAAATTACAAAATCCGTTACGTGGAAGGGAAATTTCTTGAGTATTTAATTTTTTTAACGGTCAATGTATAAATGTAACCGACGCTAGGTGGCGCTGGTGGCCTAGACTCTAGGAGTTTATATATTGTCCAGCAAAATAATTAAACTATGCTCTGGACTCCTAATTTCGATTTATAAATGTGCTCAGTGACTTTCCTTAGCATTTGAACTGTTCTTTCCCGTTTCAGGAGGCTGACCTCCATTTATATTCCTCTATTTCCGCTTAAGTAAAATCACTGTGGACACGTGCCCAGCCATATATTTATCACTTTCACATCTCAGGTTGGGCTATTTAGAGAAAGCCGCAAAGCTCATCAATCTAGGCACGCCAACCCCTTCCATACAATAAGTACCTCTTAGTCGGCCACAACTGATGAGAATGGTTTGGCACCGTGCGGATGTCCCACGAGTCTAATCAGGCTGTAATATGAAGGACAGTAGCCAGACATCAAACTGGCTGAGTTTCGCCCCTGACTTATTGCAGGTGACTCGTTCTTGCGACTTTTCCGACTACGGGGCACCCCTTTCCGGGTCCGAGGCTTGTGATCTATTCGGGGTTCTCTCTCCGGCCGGACATTTGCCAAATGAACGGCCAGTGATTTGGTTCTCGGCAAATGAATGAATTAGTTCCTTGGAGACGACTCAAGGTCTTCGGACACACACAGCTTGGCTGATTGATGAGACGGGTCCAGTGCTAAAAATGGTCTTTATAGATAGAAATAGAATTTTTCGAAAATTACCCCTTTAAATATTTATTCAGATTTTGAAGTGAAATATGGCATTGATGCGAGCGACGAGAGATTTATTCATTTTCTTCAAACCGCGAGATAAATGGGTGAAAACTGAATCGGCCACGTATTTTGAGAAGGCGCTGGTATCGGCAATGTTTATATTAACCGGCGTATACGGCAAATGGAATAATAGAGGTTTGTTATGGCGTTCTTCGACTCGACCTCTTAATGAGGTAAAGAGATTTGGCGCTTTGGTACTCCAATTGCATGCGACTAAAACGGACCTTGAGCACAATTGCGTGGGGATCGGATCGTCAGGCCTTACTCTATTTTTTTCTATTAATTACACTGATTTATGTGGTCATTGTCCATTGTATTGTGTTGCCTGCACCCAGTTCTTTGTCCTCAGAGCCACTGCTCTTGTGATGGCTAACTCTTTTAATGGCGCTCAAGCTAAGGGAACGGAATCGGGGAAAAAGTTATTTTCATTGTTATGGTTTTGGCAAAAGAAAGTTGATTACGATTCTCGATTTCGCGGCCCGCAGATGCCAACAGATACATATGGGAGTAAGTAGGAACCTATTGTTAACCAATTTGAGAACGCATTTCCTATCGACTCCTGTTGAAACACATTTGCGAGACTCGCTGGCCAAAAATTCCTTTCCCCCAAAAGTCTAAACTTGAAGAAAACGATGCCAGATTTACTGTGTTGTCTGCCTCCCTCTGTCAAAATAAATTTGCGGCATAAGTCGAGCAACTTAGAGCTGGGGAATAAATCAGTTTGTGAACACCAATAAAACAGAAATTATTTTTCTTCGCACATTTCGCGCATGGAAAGCTTCAGCTGAACTGCTCGTCGTCATCGCCTCTGACAACAGGCTAAACAAGATAGAATGCCCCGACTATTAGATACCCGTTACTCAGCTAGTGGAACTGAGAACGAGAAATTTCAGCATTTTATGGAATATCGTAGAAATTGGGGAAAAAAAATAAAATGAAAATAAAAACTTAAAAATTTGTGGGCGTTACAGTTTTGGGCGGTTTGTGGGCGTGTCAAAAAGCCTTTTGACAAATCTGTAGAAATTTACAAAATATATTAAAAAATATCACATTTTTCAAAATTGTGGACGTGACAGTTTTGAGCGTGGCACCATGGAAGCTGCATGCTTGATCTCAACCTTCTAGCTTCTGTAGTTCCTGAGATCAAGACATTCATACGGACAGACGGACAGTCGGCTATTGATCTTGATCAATATTGTATATTCTTTATATGGTCGGAAACGTTTCCTTCTGCCTGTTACATACTTTTCAACGAATATAGTATACCCTTTTACTCTACAAGTAACGGGTGCAAAATTATGTACCTTAACTCATTTGCGGCTTGTGAGATGTGGGAGGGGTAATGCCCATTTATACATCCAGATGCAACAACTTATCGAATAATAAATTCTAGTTTTTCTGATACTCAGTTTTTGAACAAATCGAGGAGAAGCTAAAGCACGAAACCGACTGTTACTTGTTGATTAAAAGGGCATACTAGATTCTCCAACCCTATAAAGAAAATATTTATCCTGATCATTATCTATAGCAGAGTCGATATCATGCAGACAGTTTTAAAACTAAGAAGCTAGTTTGACTGGCAAGTCTATTTGGACTCAGAAGTTAATACTGATTAAAAATATATACGAGTATATACTTTTTATGTTTGCAAGTGTCTGCGTTACTAAATTTTCACTGAAATCAATATCCAACTTTCGTTTTCGGAAATTCTTTACAACAACGGAAGGTTGCAGTCGCTACATTCTATTTAAAATTGAGTTTCCAATAAATTGATGATCAGAGAAGGATAATTATTAACTATCCACAATTATAAAGGAGGCAGGTACACATAAGGTACATCTTAAACCAATACCGCTTAAAAATTAAATTGTATAAAAACGTGTGTTATCTCATATTTTGGCTTTTCTATGATTTCCAGTGACCTTTTTCTCTTCTTTTCTTATCTAAGTAATTAATTACATAACATTATACATAATACATTATACATAAAACGTGTACCCTGGAATTAAAAAGGCTAGAAAGTTCGATTTAAGCATGCAGATTGTCACACATACTGTAGACGTCACTGTCACCAAAGACCCAAAACTCACCAATGAAATAAATACTTATTCTTGGCAGAAAAGTTTTTACTCAATAAATAGTCCTA